GGAGATCATTCCCGGATAAACCCTGTCGCCATCACTAATGACATCCTGATCAGTGTCCTGGGCTTCACAGGGTTTGTGATGGGGACTTACCGAGCACTCTGTGAGGTGGTCCAGTCAAGCATTTCTCCTCTCTTCTCCAGCTCTACCAGTGCCTTTGTATAATGATTTTACGTTATTATGTGTGTAACGAGGCAGCTGTTGGCTCAGTGGATAGGGTGTTCAACTTAGAATCAAGAAGACTTGAGTTCAAATGCAGCCTTAGGTATTTACTAGCTGTATGACCCTGGGCAAGTTATTTGACCTTATCTGCCTCGATTTCCTCATCTGTCAAATCATACATAGCACCTATCTCTTAGGAGTTTTGTGAGAATACAATGAGATAATATTTGTGCAAAATTTAAATGAAAACTGTTATTATCTGTTTCTAATTGAACACTTCTTTCACTCCACAAATGGATTTGTAATGATATTGCCTATGAGGAACACTTAGTCTGTAATTACTAGGGTCTGTGTCTTCATGATCTCCCTTTCCTCCAGCCCAAACTTAGGCGAAAGAAGTCTGATCTCCTCATATACTGACTATATGACGTCCAGTGGCTAAATAATAATAGCATATGGCACTTCAAGTTTTGTAAAGGGTTTTACATATTTTAGCACATTGAGACCTCACAACAATCTTGTGAGGTAGGTATATGATCACCCTCAATATACAAATGAGGAAAATGACGTTGAGAGAGGTTAAATGACCTTCCTGATTCTGAGTCTCCACTCTCTCCGGTTTATCATGTAGCTGCCTAATCTTGGCTCCCTTCTCCCTCTGCTTCCCTTCAATGAGGTGGCTCCTTAAAGGAATATGGAACCAACTACTGACTTGTGGAACTGAGAGTTAGATCATAGAATCTTGGAACTGGAAGGGAACTCCCAGGAAATCTAGTCTCACCCGTACCTGAACAGGAATTCTCTCCAAGCATCCTTGGTAAATGGTCATCCAGTCTCTGCATGAAGATCTCCGTGACAGGAGGAATACTACCTTCCTAGGAAGTCCGGTCCATTTTTGGACGTGTCTAGTTATTGAGAAGTTTTTCCTTACTTTGAGTTTGTCTCCTTCTTTCTGTAACTTCAAGCCATCACTCTATGATCTCCCATTGACAAGAGGTCTCTTTTTCCCTCCTTCTTATCTCATATCGCTCAGACATCTTCCACCTGTTGAAGAAAAAAATGCATACCAATGCTGTACTCTGTGATTAGGCTCAAGTCTACCTGAAACAATTTTTATTCAGTTTAAAATTATTTTATGTCCAAGCCCTTTCTAGCTTGGAAAGAGATATATCCAAACCTACATGAGTCTCAATTTTAAGTAACATCTATAGTAATCTTAAATGAGGAAAAGATCACAATATGTTAAAGTACAGAAACATTCCAGAAGAGTCACCATTCAGTTCCTCCCCAGACCACTCCCCTTAAGGATTGATACTTAAGAACTGAATATCCTTCCTGTGGTCGATTTCAGAACATTGAATTTCAAAATTCTCAAAAAGAGAGGAGATATGGTTTTTAGGTGGGGCATGGTGCCAGTCACTATAGATGTACAAACAATGGTTTTACCTAGTCCTGGACCATTAATTTTTTTTTTGGGGGGGGCTAGGCAATGGGGTTAAGTGACTTGCCCAGGGTCACGCAGCTAGTAAGTGTTATATATCTGAGGCCGGATTTGAACTCAGGTCCTCCTGATTCCAGGGCAGGTGCTCTATCCACTGCACCACCTAGCTGGCCCCAAGGACCATTAAATTTGAGTTAAATTTGGTTATCACTCTTATTCCATTTCAAACAAAGGCTTTAACTTTTGTTTTTCCTGCTTTCCTAAATGGAAAAGTCTGGGCAGGGTTCAAGGCTGAAGAAATATAATTTCTTAATATTTCCAGAGAAACTAAGAAGGAAACTTTTAAAAACATATCTGCACCCCATTTTGTCCTCCTTCAACCCTGTCTGTCATGAAGAGGAAGAAGCCCTTCTCCTTGCCAACCCCTCTATGTGCATCCTCCATCCTATCCCTTGCTATGTTCTCCAGCTTTCCTTGCCACATTCTTTCTAACATTCAGCCTCTACTTGCTGGCTCCTTAGTGGCTTTCTACAATTATACACATCTCACCCATCTTTAAAAAACCCTCACTTTGATTCTGCCATTCATGATAGCTGTTGACTTATATATCTACTCCCTTTCTTGGCTAAACTTGAGAAAACCATCTATAATTGGTGCCTCCACTTCTCTCTTTCATTTATAAACTCTCTGAAATCTGGCTTCCCACCTCATCATTGATATGAAACTTCTCTTTCCAAGGTATCCAATGATCACTTAATTTAAAAATCTAGTGGCCTTGATCTCTCTGTACCCTCTGACACTGTGGATCACCTTTTCATTGATACTCTCTCCTTTCTAGGTTTTCATGACCGTTTTCTCCTGATTCTCTTCCTCCATATCTGACTATTCCTTCTCGGTCTCTTTTAATGGATCTTCATCCAGGTCATGTCCAGTAACCAAGGATATCCATCAAGGGTCTGACCTAGGTCCCCTTATCTTCTTCTTCTATGTTACTGTCACTTAGAGATCTCATCAGCTCCCCGTGGGCTCAACTATCATTTCTATACAGATGATGCCCAGATGTATATAACCAGCCCTGACCTCTCTCCTGAGCTCACCACCTGCCTTTTGGATATCTTGAACTGGATGTCTTATAGGCATCTCAAACTTAATGTGTCCAATCAGAACTTATTATCTTTCCCCTTAAACCCTCCCCTCTTCCAAATTTCCCTGCCAAGGCAGCTTGTGGCACAGCAGATAGGGCATTGAACCTGGAGTCAGGAAGATCTGAGTTCAAATTTGGTCTCAGACATTTACTAGCTGTAAAATGGAGGTAGTAATAGCACGTATCTTGCAGGGTTGTTGTGAGGATCAAATGAGGTAATATTTGTGAAGTGCTCAGTACAGTGCCTTGCATAAAGTGGGTATTCAGTAAATGTTTATTCTCTTCCCTCCTCCCTATTCCTGTTGAAGGAACTGTCATTATCCCTCCCAATCCCTAGGCTCACAAAATCAATATAAGCCTTGACTTTTTTCTTGCACTTATTACACATATCCAATCTGTCTCCAAGTCTCGTTTTTATGTTTATAACATATCTGGTAAATGTCCCTACGCTGGTGTAGATACCCACTGCAATAACCTTCTGATTAGCCCTTCTCCTCAAGTCTCTCCCTACTCCAAGTCATCATCCACTCAGCTGCCAAAGTGATTCCCCTGAAACAAAGGTTTGACCATGTCACCCCTTCACTACCATCCCCAGCCCCATTCACTAAGCTCCCGTGGCTCCCTGGATCAAACTTAAAATACCGTTTGGCATTTAAAGCCTTTTCAACCTGACCCCTTCCTGCCTTTCTAGTCTTCTTAAATTTCATTCCCCTCCATGTACTCCAACACCCAGCAATACTAGCTTTCTTGCTATTCCTCAAACAGAATATGTCCAGAGTCTGGGCATTTTCGCTGGTGATTCCTCATGCCTGGAGTGTTCTACCCCCTCCTTCACCTCCTGTCTCCCCTGACTTCCTTCAAGACTCAGCTCACATCCTGCCTTCTGTAGGAGGCCTTTCTGGTCCTCTCCACTATCAGTGCCTCTCCTCTGAAACAACCTTTCATCTGTTCTGTGTCTGTATGTTGTCTCTCTCATTTGTCCTCCCTGAGGGCAGGGACTATGTGTTTGCCTTGCTTTGTATCCCTATGGCTTAGTACAATGTCTGGCGTATAGTAAGTGCTAAATAAATGCTTAGTGACTCACTGGCTGACTTTGGAGCCAAGTGAAGTAAGTCTAATCACTTTTCTTTTTAAAAAAAAAATGGTCAATATTTTAAAGAATATATCACTGACTGAAAATATTCCCAATGACTCTCTATCCCAATCGAATCCGGGCACAAGAAGGAAGCGCAGTTAAGCAAAGCAAACCAACACATTGGGCTGTGTCTGCCAAATATGCCTCATTCTGTACCTGGAGCTTACCACCTTTCTCCTGCATCAGGATTTTCATCCTCAGTCTTCTGGAATTGATTGAGCGTCGCCATTAATCACAAGTGCCAATATCTTTCACTGTTGTTTTACTTTACATTATTATGACCATTGCATAAGTAAATCGTTCTTTTGGTTATGCTCATTTCACAGTGTATCAGTTCATATAATTCTTCCCCAGTTTCTCTGACTTTTTTGTATTCATTTCTCCTTATGGCTATAACCCATTACATTCATTTACCCCAGTTTGTTTAGCTGTTCTCTAATTCATGGGACCCTACTAGGTTTCCAGTTTTGTTTTTGTTTTTGTTCTTACTACAAAAGCATTGCTATAAATATCTCCTTTCTGTCTTAGATATTCTTGGGATATATGCCTAGAAGTAGTATTGTTAGGTCAAAGGTTATGTTCAGTTTGCTAACTTTCTGAACATGGTTCCAAATTATTTTCCAAAATGATTGGACCAATTTATAGCTTCTCCAACTTTGCAATTTATCTACTCCCTCTTCCACATGATGATGACCTTTTGGATTCTTGAAGATAGCTATCATGTCTCACCTAGGTCTTCTTTTTCAAACCTAAACATTCTTCCCATTTTCTTCAACTAATCTCCATGTGTCACAGTCTCTGGTTCCCTCACCATTGTCGTTGCCCTCCTCCAGATGTGTTCAAATTTGCCGATGTCAGTGACACCCAGAACTGAACACAACATTCTAATTATGGTCCGAACAGGTCAGAAGACAATGGGGCTATTATTTCCCTAGCCTCTCTTAATGTAGCCTGAGTGGGCCATATCATACTGTAGATTTCTGACGAGTTTAAAATCCATTAAAATCCTCATGTATTTTTCACAAAAACTGTTCTCTAGGTACATTGCACTTGTGCATTTGATTAACTTGAATGCAAGTTTAAGACTTAACATGTACCTTTATTCAATTCCACCTTATTAGATCTGGCCCATTTCCAAGCGGTTAAGACCATCTTCATTCCTGACTCTATAATACAAGATGTTAACTATCACCCCCGGCTTCATATCATCTGCCAATTTTTTAAGCAATCTTTCTTCTTGACTTGCTTTGAGATTTGGACCAGCAATTTGCACTCCCTGAATACTTCCAACGGGAAATGATTTCTCGACTTGATCTTCAGGTACTTTATATCCCTCTTAATAGTCAGTCAATAAACATTTCTTAAGGGCCTGCTATGTGCCAGATGAGTAGCTAGGTGGCACAGTGGATACAGTGCAAAGCCTGAAGCCAAGAAGACTCATCTTCCTGAGTTCAGTTCTGGCCTCAGACACTTACTAGCTGTGTGACCATGGGCAAATTATCTAACTCTGTTCCTCATTTAAAGCACTTAATTCAGTTCCTCATCTGTAAAATGGGCTAGAGAAGGAAATGGCAAACCACTTCAGTATCCCTTGCCAAGAAAACCCCAAATGGGGTCGTGAAGAGTCAGACATGACTGAAACAATTGAACAACAACGACGACATGTACCAGGTACTTTGCTAAGCTCTGGGGATATACAAAGAGGCAAAGGCAGACAGTCCTAGCCCTCAAAGAGCTCACACTCTAATCTCTGAACCTTTCATATTCTGAGTTACGTTTATGTGTATATCGTATATGTCTCCTCTATTAGACAGTAAACCCCTTGACAGCATGTACTATGTCTTATTCATGATTATAGTCCTCTCAGCTGCTCAGCAGTTATTGAATGAATGAATGAATGAGTTTGCCAATCGGCAATGAAAATCCGTAACAGGAATATGACCTTGTCATTGTCTTAGTGGTTATTTAGCACTTTGAATTAAGTGTTAAGTACAGTATTTATCTAGTCTTCAAAGCTGGATTTTTAATATTTCATTCTCATCCTCTAGCTAAAGCATAATGGGAATATTAGAAGCGGCTGGTTTTCAAGAAAACAAAATTCTATTCCTTTTCGGAATTCCAGCTAATGCTTTGTAAGACTCTATTTGACTGCAATCACACTTTGCATCAGAAGAAATCTGGTGATGAGGTAAATATGAGGATGAGGGGGAAAGAGGAGGAAAAACTCAAGCAATCCTTGCTTTCAGCACGGATTTGGACAAACAAGTTCATCTTCAGCTGAGGGCTGAGGATGATGAGGGAGGCCAGGAGAACAGGTGAGTTGGAAGTATGTCCTGTTACTGTGTGGGAGATATACTAATTTGGTAAACCTATTTCTCCACCCCCAGAGAATTTATTAACTGGGATTGGCCCCAGGTGGAGGTGGGAAGGAGCTGGTCCTGTGTTATCTGAGGGTATTGAAATGTACCCTGGATTGACTAGGAAGATCTAGGTCCTAGTTCTTCTGACAGTATGATCCTAAACAAGTGGTTTAACCTTCTGAACTTGTTTTTGCATCTATAACGTGGCTATAATAATACTTGCCCTAAAATTATAGGATCTTAGGGGTTATGTAGTCCAACCTCTCACCCTAAGTAGGAATTTTCATTTCACAATATTCCTAATAAGTGGTCATCTAATTTGTGCTTGAATGCTTTTACTTAGAGGAAATTCACTACCTTAAAAGCAAGCCCATTTAAATTCCCAACATTTCTAATTATGAAAAATCTCATCTTTATATAATCTGGTTTTCCTCTAAATTCTACTCATTTGTCCTATTTTCCTTTTATTTTTGAAAATGTATTTTACTTTTTCCAATTACATGTAAGAAATTTTTTTAATATTTTTTTTGTTTTGAGTTCCAAATTCCCTCCCTCCCCCTCTCCCTGAGATGCAATTTGATGTTACACTTGTGTAGTCATACAAAATTTATTTCCATATTAGTCATTTTGTGAAAGAAAACCCAGACCAAAAAAAGAAAGAAAATGAAAAAATGAAGTATGCTTCAATCTGCATTCAAACTTTGTAAGTTCTTTCTCTGGAGGTGGATAGCATTTTTCATCATAAGTCTTATGGAATTGTCTCGGATCATCGTATTGCAGAGAATAGCAAAGTCATTCACAGTTGATCATCGTACAGTATTGCTGTTACTGTGTACAGTGTTCTCCTGGTTCTGTTCACTTTACTTTGTGTCAGTTCATGTAAGTCTTTCCAGATTTTTCTGAAAGCATCCTGATCATCTTTTCTTATCGCACAATAGTGTTTCTATTTTTTCCCTTTAGAGCCAGATAGGGTTCTTTCTTCTAGATGATAACATCTTAGATATTTAAGGACAGTAAATATGTCATCATCCATATTACACATCCTCAATGAAGTGTGAATGAATAGACAAGTACCCAGGATCAGGAGATATCCTTAGTCTTTTCAACAATCTCTGAGGTTTTGGGAATATATTTTTAAATGATATAATTTCTGTATGCCTTGTCTTCTTCAAGACAACTTGAAGTGTCACGTTTATCAACACTGTACCCAGAACTAAACACTAAGTATTCTAGATGAGGTCTTACTAGGATGAATTTTCCTTGACTGCCTAAGAGACTGTGGTAGCTTTTTGGCAGTCTTATCACTAATATTGACTAATATTGAGCTTGCCGCTGCTTTAAAAAAAAAAACACAAAAAACTTGTCTTTTTCTCATGATTTTTTGTCAAACCAGTTCTCTCATCTTGAATTTGTAGAACTAAGTTTTAAAATCTAAGAATAGGAATTTATATTTATTAAATTTCCTTTAAGTAGATTTAGCCAATTTTTCTAGGACTCATGGGTTCTTAACCTGGAGTCTGTGAACTTAAAAAATTTGCTGACTGTTGCAATCAAATTGGCTTCCTTTGTAATCCCATGCATTTTATTTGTTGCATTTAACAACATTATTCTGGGAGGAGGTCCTTAGATTCTTCCAGACTGCCAGAGGGCCCCATGAGACACAAAAAAGTTAAGAGTACTCATTCTAAATTGATGTCTTTTGGGACCCTGATTATATCATACAATTAATTAGCTATTCCTCGTGGCTTTGTGCCACCTGAAAATGTGCTTAAAATGTCATCAGATGAAGGCTAGATGCCCATCTGTCAGGGTATAAGGATTAGATCAGTTCTAAGATTCTATAATGTTTTATTTCTTTATCTTATAAAGTAGGCAGGGCAGGTCTTATTATCCCATTTTACAAATAAGGAAACTGATGGTCAGAGAATTTAAATGACTTTCTTTCAAGGTCACATATTACTAAGTGTCTAAACTAGGACTCAAACATATAGCCTAAGGCAGGGGTGGGCAACCTTCGGTCACACCTTAGGCCACAAATTCCCAATCCCTGGCCGAAGGGTTCAAATTTGGTGCTTTTTTTTCCACTATACTATTCTGCCTGTAACTGACTTTACCATCATAGAGACTGGATTATAGAATTGAAAACTGAAAGAGACTTCAGGGATAATCTAGACTAACTCCCTCATTTTACAGATGAGGAAATTCAGGAGTTTAGAAATTGAATCCACAAAATGAATGCTGCTAAATAGGCTTTGGGACTGAATTGTTAGGTGTGTAGGGGGTATCAGGTAGGTTGGTCCCTAGAGGTCTATGCTGATGTCCAGACTTCAGCCCCACAATGACTGATGCCTGGTGTTTGGCCCCCATTGTCTGGTGTCTCAGGATCTCTTCAACTGGCTAGGCAGGTGTGCTTTCTCCCTTTTTTAGGCCCAGTTCAAAGGAGCCTAAAAAAGGAACTTTATCCAAAATTGTTAAATTAAGTAGATAGAGGGAACTTTATCCACTACTGTTTTAGTCAATCAAATCATCTCCCAGATGCTGAGACTTAATTACTCATGCTCAGTGAGGTATGAATGAGGCACTCAGGATCAGGACAGGCCCTCAGCCTTCTCAGCCAAATACTAATGGTACATGCCATCTCCCTTTAAAGGGAGATGCCACCAGAATCCCAAATCAGGAGCTCCTTCCTAACCTCATCAAACTGATCAGGCCACCCTAATTGATCCTTTCCATTTAAAACTGATGAGAACATTGGGAAGGGAAAATTCCTATAGGATTAGTGCTGGAAGGGCCCTACAAGGCCATTCAACCCCATCATTTTACAGATGGAGAAACTGAGGCCCCAATAGAGGAAGTGACTTGCTTAAAGTTATATAAATAGTAAATGACATAGTTGAGATTCAAAACCAGTAGCTACTACCTCACATCTCAGAGGAACAATGTGAGGCCTGGGTTCTCATTTCCAACTATGGATTTCCCATAAGGGAAATAGTAACATCTAGGCTCTAGATACTCTGATGCCGTTTTGACTCCTGGGTTGATTGTTCACTTGAAATCAAGGCGTGGGTAGGCTTTCTGCTGGACTACGTGACAAATTATGGAGAGCATTTGTCTGGGGTGGGGAAGAGGGCCGGGCACCCTAGCTCATGAAGCTGAAAAATACAAAAATTAGCAAAGAAGGGAGGATACTCCTTGGCTTCTGCCACTTTCTGTCCCTTCCTGTGTGACCCTGCCAGTGGATGGAAAAGATTTGAGACACTGGCAGGGCTTTATGTGTATGGTAACTGGAATCTGCACTGGAGATGATAAAGAGATCTCAATTCTAGTGTGATCTCCTCTCTTCCCCCTCAGCCATTTAAGCTAACCCTCTTATTTTACATGTGGGGAAACTGAGGCACAAAGAAATTAAATGACTTGCTCAGTGTCACACAACTAGTAAATGGATGAGGCACGATTTGTACTCAAATCTTCCTGACTCCAAGTTCGATGCCCTAACCATTGAGGATAGACCCAGTTGCTACCCTTAGTGGACAGTTGTACACAGAAGCCTCCTCTCTCTCTCTCTCTATGTTCATTTATTATGATGAGACCTGCTCAGAGTCACAAACATAGTAATAGTTGAATCTAGGTCTCCTGACTCCGGGTCCACCTCTCTGTACCTCCTCAGGGGCAGCTAGGTGGCACAGTGGATAGAACTCCAGGCCTGGAATCAGGAAGACCTGAGTTCAAATTTGGCCTCAGACACTTTCTAGCTGTGTGACCCTGGGCAAGCACTTAACCCTGTTTGCCTCAGTTTCTTCATCTGTAAAATGAACTGGAGAAGGAAATGGCAAATGACTCCCGTATCTTTGCCAAGAAAACCCAAATAGGGTCACAAAGAGTCAAACATAACTGAACAACAACATACCACCTCAGGTATGTTCTGTATCACATGACCAGTAAGTCTGATTGAG